AGTTTGTCATTCAATCATGTTTACGACTAAGCATTATTCATTTTCTTGAGAGAGTTTTTTTGTAAAAACTCACAAACACATCTTTGAAGCCTTGCACAATCTCATAGACGCAATTCATCTCTCTTATCAAAATCAGTTTCCCTATTGGAGTTTTGAAAAAAATTTGATTTGGCATTTTGATTTCAAAAATTCCAACTAGGATCACACCCCACACTAGGGGCAAGTGAAATTTCAATGATCAAGAAAGATGATAAAGCCATGAGAAAGCAAAAAAAAAAACAAAAGCCAAAGAAACTCAAATGCTAGGGGGCATGCCCAAATCACAAGAAAAAGTGATAACCAAGATAAAATGAGTATGCTCTAGCAAAACAATGAAAAAGAAAAAAGAAGCAGAAAATCAAAGAAGAGCGGCAAAAGAAAATATGAATGACATCAATAGTCAAACTGTTAATAGTGATCCTCAATCTTTGAAGCCCTGAAACACTCTTTGAGCCTTATGAATCTTTTTCTTTCATATCCAAAAATCACAGCCTACATTACGTGCCTATAAAATTCCTTTCTAATCAAGCAAGCAAGCAACCTAGAACAATAAACAATGCTCTCAAAATGCAAAGAATACTTTTTTCATAAGATTCATGACATCAAGAATAAACTACTCATTATTATTCATGTTGATAAAAATAAATGTTCAAAAATAGACAAGTTTTTCTCTTACAAAACCTCGAGCTTTTTTTCGAGCCCTCCACTCTGAAAACCTATAAAAATAAAAGGTCATAATATCATGACATATTTTCACCGAAGACCTCATTGCGAAACACAAGAGTAAATAATCTCTTTTTCAAGAAAGAAAATAACCAAGGAGTTGCAAGATTTCAAAAGCAAATTGTTATTGGACTCACATCAAAATAACTTTTGTTTTCAAAATGCAAGATCAAGATTTCAAGATTCATTCTAGACCTATATCCCTCCACCACACTGAAAAGGAGAGAAATGAGAGAATGGCCTCTTAAAACCATTATTTGTCCAAGTCGCTGACAGAAGCACACTTAAAGGCAGTAACCAATACAAGGGGGCAACATTATGTTTAGAAGGAAAAATTCTAGAAAAGGAGATGGTAATTTCCTTCAACCAGAACAACAAGAAGATTAAGAAGAAATGGGGGCTTATATTTCAAATTAGGTAAAGATGCATGCATATCATCTAAAGTTTGAGACATTGGATAATGAGTTTTGCAAATTTTATTAGAGAAAATTCTAACAGAATCCATCAAACAAAAGGCCAACTTGAAATGGCAAACATTGAAGGGCTACATGCACCACTTATTCATGGAGGGGATGCCAAGACTCTTCGGTCATTGCCTTGGAATCACACTTGTGGTCATTGAATGGCGTCGTACGTGTTGTCTAAAAGCGGTAAAGATGACACCGCATATGTCGTCCAAAAACAACAGACATTGTTTATGCGTTTCTTTTTATTTAATTTTCTTATTTATTAAATTTGAGCCTTCAAGCCCTTGACCATCAAAGGTAGTGCATTTCCCATCCTACCTCCATTCGAGCGTGTCTTTGAGCCCTCGTCTTATCTCCATTCAAGCGCGCCTTCAAGCTCTCGTCTTATTTATTTTTGAGTGCGCCTTCGAGCCCTCGACCATCAAAGGTAGTGCATTTCCCATCCTACCTCCATTCGAGCGTGTCTTTGAGCCCTCGTCTTATCTCCATTCAAGCGCGCCTTCAAGCTCTCGTCTTATTTATTTTTGAGTGCGCCTTCGAGCCCTCGACCATCAAGGGTGGTGAATTTCCTATCCTACCTTCTTTTAAGCACGCTTTTGAGCCCTCAACCATCAAAGGTAGTGCATTTTCTACCATCCTTCCATCCGAGCGCGCCTGTGAGCCCTCGTCTTATTTCTTTTCGAGCGAGCCTTCGAGCCCTCGACCATCAAAGGTAGTGCATTTCCTATCCCACCTTCTTTTGAGTACGCCTCCAAGCTCTCATTTTTTTCAAGCTTTCATCTATTGAAAAATGCGCCTTCGAGCCCTATCATGTCTTATTAAAAAAAAAAATCCTAGTATTTTTTCAATGGGCAGGTGACCCATTACAATGTGACCATCTAGGTCGGTAACCCATTACAATATACCAACTGGGCAGGT